AGCAAGCACTCGTGTAATACACGAGTGTTGTACTAGTGTATTTTAAAAGTATATAATATTTGTATTTCTTATCGGTTTTACATATATAATATATCAAATTAATCATCTATTGATGATCTTCGATTTGACATCCATATTGTATATATAAAATAAATAAATTATATTTATCTTTATAATAATAAAAAACAATAATATTTATTAAAATTCATTAGAAAATTAAAATTATTTCTCAATTGATATATTTATATTTTAGTTATATAGTGTAAGTTAAAAAATTAATATAATATAACACAAGTAAGTCGCACAAATAAAAAGTATCATAATAAATATATATATTTATAAAAGGTATTTAAATTTTCAAACTATTTTTTCTCAAGAATTTTAAATTTTAAGAAAAAAAATAGCAAGCACCCGTGTAATACACGGGTGTTGTACTAGTTACTATTAACATAAAAAAAATAAAATCAAACTATTCCCTTAAGTCCGCCCAGTAGTCATCAATGGTGCAAATGCATAAATTAAAAATAGCATTATTTTGTTTAATTTAAAAACATAATTTTTAAAAACGGTTTTTGTTTAATTTAAAAATAGTATTATTTTTTAATTTAAAAACATAATTGATAATATAACTTTTAAAAACACTCTTGTGAAAAAAAAAAAAAAGTATTATTTTGTCTTATATCAGTAGTGGTGCAAGTGCATGCCAACCAACTCCATGTTGCCGTGTCGGTTCACTTTTTATCATTTTTTTGTATTTGTTTATTATGTTATAAGTGAGGAAAAGACGGTGACTCTGAAAAAANNNAAAAAAAAAAAAAAAAATCTGTTTGACGATTGTTGCAGAAGAATTCACCATAAATTCGCCCTTTCTTACCCCCAAAAAATGAACAACACATCCGACCCACCTCTTCAATCGGCCGAGAAGGCTACTCCTGCCACTACCCCACAGACGGCGTCCAACAACGATAGAACCGAGAGCACCGGTAGTGTCTCGGTCACTTCGCCGGCGAAAAAACATAAACGGCCAAGACAGGTAACTCCTTCTCCATAAGATGTCGGTCGTTTGTCTCCGGCAAACTACCTTCTGTTTAGAGAGGGTTTTTATTCCCAAATTTTGTTTTTTATATTGCACAATTTTTTTTTAAGGTTTGAATTTGGGAATTAGGGTTTATGGGGAAAAATGAATTTCCTCCTGTAGATAATTTTTGTGTTTAAAGTACTTCTGTGTTTGATTGTTATCTTGTGCCCAAATTTTTTTTGGTACGTATCAATTTCGGCTCCAAATTGCTTTGAAGAAATTTGTCCGTTTCATTATAATGTTTCACTGTCATATTACTCTGCACATTTTTTTGCACAAAATAATTGGATGGTGTAGATTTTGGGTATGGACAATATTGGTATTTCAAAAGGCAAGAAGATTGAGGCGAAATGGACTCCGCAAACGGAGGCTCAGTTCATACAATTGAAGCTGGAAGAAGTGCTCAATCAAAATTGCGTCGGAGGAAACTTTAGTACGGCTCAGTGGAATCCATTGCGAGCAAACTGAATGAGCTCTGTTCCCCCGTCCCACCTTATGAGACGAGGCAACTTCATGGTAAGCAGGCTCGGTTGAAGGCATACTGGCGACGTTTCCATACAATGCGGACAAGTGCAACCGGTTTTGGATGATGTCCAAACCGAAACATGATCACGGGAGGAGACGAGGCTTGGAAGATATGGATTCAGGTAACATCGTGTTTTTTATAAATTTGTTTTTCGGTTTACTCAGTTCATAAATGGATGGATTCCCTTAAGTTATTGTGTAAATTAACTTTATTCCCTCAAAATGTTTATTTCAGTTAGCTGATTTAAGGGAGTTATTGTAACATTTTTTTCTTTATGTTATCATTTTAATATCACACGAATGAAACTATTTTTTTTTTCTATCCATGTTAATTGTAACATTTAATTGTAAATGAATGAAACTACTTTTTTTTTTTCTTTCTGTTATCAAATTTCCTATATTTTTTTTTTTCTTTTTGTTATCAAATTTCTGTGGGAAATTTTCCTACAAACTGAAACTGGTAATTGCACAAATGAATAGCAGAACAAAACAATTTCCCTATCAATTTTCCTATCAATTTTCTGTTTATTGTAACATCAATTTTCTGTTATTAATATACTTGTTAAACTGATATACTTTTTGATTCCTTAAATTAATGGCTACTAATATAACACTGCGTGCAGAGACACCCAGATGATGAATATTTGAAGAACAGAACATGTCCTCACTACGACGAACTTACCACCATTTTCATTGGGACAACCGCTACTGGTAGTCTAGCTACATCTTCCACTCAACCGCCACAGGGGAGGACACGGGTCAGGAGGAGTCCAGTTTTCATCCCAGAAAATGAGATGTTGTCTAATGAAGGGGACACTCTGGATAGCAACCGTTCAACTCGTCGTCGTAGAGCTCCATCGCAGTCCATTGACACTGTCATGAATTCCTTTGCTGAGACATGGATGGCTATTCAGCAAGCTGCACAAACGACGACTGAAAAAGCGGTTGCCGAGCTCGAAGCTTATACAAATTTGCCAACTGATGTTGTCATGCTTGTACTTAAAAAGTTTGAAGTCCCTTTCAACCGCAGAATGTTCATTGCCTTAAAAGTCGAAGCACATCGTAGAGCTTTAATTGACAGTTGGGTTGCCGAGAGTTCGCAGTAGTGACACTGCGATTATTTTGCTTATTTGCTTGAGTTGTTTTAAACACTATTGATAACTTGTTTCATTTTCAGTACGCGTGTTTGTTTGTGTTTCTAAGACGATTGTGATTGATTTTAATAGTGTTTCCCATCTACTGTCATTTGGTTCATGTTAAACATTATTTTTGGGCTATGCATTTTACTGATGTAGGATGTCAGACGTGGATGATGCGCGCAATCATAACTTCGACCATGAGGGTTCTTTCGACGCAGTTGAGGATGATTTGGAAAACAGTGGTGATGACACTATCGATGACTGTGTAGAAAGCGAAGACGATATGGTCGATAGTGCGGATGACGATGAAGGAAAAGTAAATTTTTATGTGGCACAACTTGATTCAGTATACGAACAACTTGTTACTTTTCGAGCGTCCACGTCACTTAGAAGACCCCGAATTGCGAGAAATCCAGTTGCATCCACCCCATTGACTGGAATGGATTGGATCAATGAGTTGTACATGGGCCCCGATAATAGATTTTTTGCTGTGCTAGGGGTGGAAAAGAAGGTATACACATTGTTGTGCAAAGCGACAAGAAGTAACAACAACCACGGCCACACTATACAAAAAAACTAAGCCATGAAGAAAGCGTTGCTATTTTTCTGTTTACAATTAAGGGCCAACAAAGGCTACGGCTTGCAGCGAAGAGATTCAGACATTCATTGGAGACGATCAGTAATCATGTTCACATGATGGTAGACGCTCTACGTATGCTTGCACCCCAGTACATTCGGCCCCCCAATTTTAATCGGGTCCCTCCTTATATACGTAACAATCCTCGTGTCTATCCACATTTTAAGGTATGTACCATTGGTCTCTCTTTTGTAGTACCAATTATGCATAATTATATTAACACGCTTTCGAATAAATTTAAGGATTGCATCGGCGCAATAGACGGGACTCTAATACCAGCTTGGGTTCCTCAACGGAGACATGGGTCTTACAGGTGCCGAAAAGGAATCCTAGCACAAAATGTAATGGTAGCGTGTGATTTCGAGTGCAAGTTCACATTTGTTCTATCCGGTTGGGAAGGCAGTGCCAATGATGCTCGCATTTTCCAAGAAACATTAAGAGATCCCGCAATCGATTTCCCATGGGCGCCCCCGGGTAATGATAATTCTTTATTTAATCTATATGGGTAGCGTTAAATTACGATTAATATAGAAAATTTTGGATATGAATGTTTGTCTCAACAATGGATTAGGGAAATATTACTTGGTGGACTCTGGATACATTAATGTACCGGGATTCCTTACACCTTACAAAGGCGAGAGGTATCATTTACCGGAGTGGGTTGGCTCAAATCGAACTCCTACCAACGCAAGAGAACTATTTAATAAATGACATTCTTCACTCCGTACAGTAGTTGAACGTACAATTGGCATCCTAAAAAATAAATTCCCCATTATTAGGGGTCTCATGCCAAGATACTCCGTCGACTGCCAGAAAAACATCGTTCTTGCATGTTGTGTTTTACATAACTTCATTCAAAGGCACCAACATTCTGATAACCTACCTCCGTCTTTCTACGATTTGGGCTATATTCCACAACGTGATACAGACAATGATAACCTACCTCCATCTTTGCACAATGACTCGATACCCCAAGGTGATGTAGACGATGACACGAGTGGTTGGAACCCCTCTTTGAATGTTTCACAATCTGTTTATAGGGAACAGTGTGCGTTGCGCGACACAATTGCATCCGCTTTGTGGGCGGATCAAAGAAACAGACGCGCGTAGCTATTTTATATTATTGTTGGATGTTTGCGGATATGTATGCCAATTTCATATGTTCTCATTTTGGAAAACAACCATTCAATGTTGTTTAATGAATGAACGAGCTGAATAATATAATCAACGACTCTTTTAAATAATATATTTCACGTTACTATGTTTGAATATATGTATATAGATATTGTCGTAAAATAAGACTATATAAAAACAATTTATGTACTAATAAGTGTAGTAAGAATAGTAACTTGTAAATTTTCAATTAATATCAGGAAAGAAAATACTATTTATTAATATTATCCACGTAAAAAAATTGTCCGTTCTTACATATTATTTACTAAAAAAATCTCAATTTTCAAATTATGTGTATGCATTTTTATTGAAACAATACAAGCAAAAAAAAAA